TCAATATTTAGACCAGTGGTCATTAATCACTGCCTAGTACTATATTTATTTACTTTTCTGTCTTTTTTTTTTTTTAATTGTGCTTTGGGTGCAAATTTACACAGCAAACTTGTTTTACATTCAGCAGTTCATGCACATCTGGTTTCATGGCCCTAGTTACTGTCTCCAGCCAAAGGAAACTCTCCTCCCTGTGACCACTCACTCCCTGTACCCCTCTCATCCATGCATTCCTGTCTGTGCAGCCTTCCCTGTATGTGAATGCTACTCCTCTGGTACCTCATGGCTGCTTGATCCAAAGGGTGCATCTCCCTAGAGTAGGTGGGTGCATAACTCTTGGGTAGGTGTTTTGCGTGTAGATCTTTCTACTATTGGACTGAGTCTGCCTGATGTTTTAATAAATGTAGCAGTAACTAAGACGTACACGTTTTTGTTCCCATAGGCCATCCCACTTAATTTTGTTAAACCTGATCCAAATCATATATCTATTATCTGTTGGCCACTGTGGTGGTTATGTTTTTGTGTCAACTTGGCTTGGCCTGGTTGAGTGGCTGAGCATCTGGTGGTAGTTATTCCCCATGATGAGACTGGCAATCAGTTCCATGGTGGGATCTACCACAAGCAGCTGAGTAGCTGCCTTTGGGATGTAGTCTGTTTCCTGTATATAAGGAGAAGTATTGGGAATGGTCTCTAGCCTGTGGCACGCTTGGACCCTGGATGTAGCTGTGTTGTTTCTCAGCAGCCTGCTATGCTCTGCCGACCTTGGGACTTACAATGGACTTAAGTTAATGGCCTGTTGTGTGGTTTGGTAACATTGGGACTGTGCCTTTTTACTTGTCAACCTTGGGGCTTCTCAGCCTCAGCAGCTAGTAGCTGTCTGAGTAAAGAAACCCCTCTAGCTCCAGTGGGCTGGGAGCAGGAGGCAGAGCTGGACCCCAAGGTTGAGGGGTTTTTATCCAGCCCATAGATCCTGGCACTTGAACTTGAACTTAAAGCCTCCAAATTGTGAGAGAATAAACTGTTTGTTTCTCCATCCCATTTGTGGTATATTTCTTGTCAGAGCAGCACCAGGTAACCAGAACAGCCACTATAATCATTTGAGTTTACAATTCCTAGTTTAGACTGTTTTGCTATGATTCACTGTTACATTTGGTAGTAATTATTAGCATGACCTCTAAAATGGAGAAGCTACAGGAACCACTTATTACCCTAAATTTTACAATTAGAACTGGATTGTTGATTTCATCTAGCCAAGTACCACCACCTCACTAGTTCACTAGCAATTAAATAAGTTAGATTTAATACTTGTTACAGTGAGGAAAAGCTCATACCATGGGTAACTGTGGTGCAGTGAGTTACTTAATATGCCCCTTCTAGCCATATTGCTTTGTTGTTGTTGTTAGTCTTGACATAATCCCACTAAAAAATTAGGTAGGATTATACAAGTAAGGTACTTTGCATTGCTTGCTAATAGTACACATGAGGTGCATGGATCCCTTGTGTGGCTAGGACCGTGAAAATAAGGGATATGGAACCCAAACAAGAGGACTTTTCAGTTTTGCCATCCCATTAGGCCTAAAAAAGAGCCAGTTCCAAAACAGAGCAGAAACTTGATGAGTACAAGACAAGAAGAGATAGGAGCAGATCATGTCCTTTGAACCCAGAATCCCTGTGCCTAGAGCCTCTTCAACCCAGGTGACGAGTGGAGCTTAGTTTGCCAACCCATGGAACTAGAGTTGAGCACCTTCAGGCTGAGACTTACAGGTGGAGTAGGATGCCTCTTAATATTTAATTCTGACCACAGAACTAAAAGAGCTTCTTAACACTTGCCGAAGCAGAGCAGAGGCCCAGCCAGCCCAAGAGGGCCCTTGTGAGGGAGGCTGGGGGTCTGGGTGGGGGGGGAAATACGAGGAACAGAAAGAGGCCTGTCAGGACCACCAAGAGGAGGCTGTCCTGATCGAAGAACTATATTATGAGTCATTTCTGATCCTAAATTGTAACCTGTAACTTCCCTAATAAGCCTTACAAATATTGTCTGAGTTTTGTATGGCCATTGCAATGAATTATCAAACTCAGCAGAGAAGTAGAGTGCTTTGGGAAGGACAGGTGATGTCAGAATTGGTAACAAGGTTGGAGGGTGGAGGCATGTCTAACCTCTGCCTTGTAGGAATCAATTTTGGGCTGATGCTGATGGTGAGCCTTCTTCCTTCTGGGGAAGTTAACCTAGGAGGTCTGACACCTCCACCACACTATTTAAATACAAACCGTGGAGTGTCTCATGGTGTTAGGAAAGACTTGGATTTGGGCATTGTTTTGTTCTGTTGTATGTAGGCTCTCTGTGAATCAGAACCAACTTGGTAGCACCTAACAACAACAATATACACAATAAAAGATACCCACATTTTTTAATATTTAGTGTGGAGATTTATAAAGTTTGAGCAACATAGTCAACAAAAAGAATATATGACAAAGAAGTCATGCTTATTATTGAATGCTGGCTCCCACTATTCCTTTGGGTCCAGCATTTAA